TTTTTTATTTAATTCACCTCCTCAAGGCTGAGAAGGCCACTAGAGACGAGGAGGCTACTTATTTGTGGTTATAACCCTCTCTCAACTCTATAACTCCGAAACACGAACCTTGACGAGCAAGGCCGCTGCGCGGAGAAACGAGTTGAGCGCAATACCACCAGGGACGTGGTGGGGATGGACTCGTTTATGAAGCAAGCGCTCTACCACAACACCACTACCGCATAACTGCGCTCTACACACTACCTCTTACTGAGTCCTCCTCTTTACGTCTTCTTGGATTATCGCTTACTACTGACCTTTCATGGAAACCATATATACAATTGATTGCTAAATTAGCTTCTGCTAAGGTTGCTTTTCTTTATCGTGCTCGCCATTTCCTTACTTCTGATTCCATTCTCTATCTCTACAAATCTCTTATTTTTCCCTGTATGGAATACTGTTGTCATATTTGGGCCGGTTCTTCTAACGATTCACTTTCTCTTCTTGACAAAGTCGAAAACGCATTGTAAATGTTGTTGGACCTGGACTATCTGCTAAGCTTGAACCTCTTTCCCATCGTCGTAAAGTTGCATCTCTTTCTTTTTTCTACAGATACTATCATGGTTATTGCTCAAAGGAGTTATCATCTCTAGTTCCATCAACTAAAATTCATTCTCCTTTTACTCGTCATTCAGCTAAGTCTCATTCGTTTACTGTATCTGTCCCTGCATGCTCTAAAAACTTTTATTCATCTAGTTTTTTTCCCCGCACTTCAATCCTTTGGAACTCTCTCCCATATTCATGCTTTCCTGACTCATACAACCTTCAACTTTTCAAGTCTTCTGTCAACTGTTTCCTTGCTCTACAACTCTGTTCTTTTTTTTCCTAGTAACTCCCAACTTAATAGTGGTTGCTTGCAGCCTTGTTGGGAGTGAATGCAAATAAAAAAAAAAAAAATCCAGGAATACTAGCAAATCCAATAGATATTTTAAACTTCCTACAACATAAAATCTTGGAGCCAAAGATTACTGCAAACTAATAAATCAGGACATCGAAGAAGCTCATTCACCACCTTTACTAAATTATTATTTAAATGAAGATATTTTGAAAGCCGATGACATTCCATTAAGTATCCCAAAGTATCCTTGTCATATTCTGAATATGGAAAGAATAGTTGGAGTAGTCACAAAGGCATCAGAAAATAGATATGGCACAAAAAACGTCACAAATTTGTATTAAACTTGTTGGAGTCCAGGGAAAAAATGACTAAATTTGATTGGAAAGCGCAATGGAAATAAGACATTTATAAAAATATACATTTTTTTATAGTCTATAAAAACTTTTCATTCTATTTTTTTTATTTCTAAATACTTTGTTTCTTTGCTTAAGAAAGGTAATACATGAATCTCTTATTTAATATATGATCTCTTATTTAACACCTTATTCTAATATCCCTTATTCTAATAAAATACCTAAACAGTATTTTAGTAGAATATTTTTGTCTTAAATCTAAATCATTACAGTTATATAAAATAAAATAAAACAATTATAAAATAATTTTATATAATAGTTGCTTATAAAATGCCAAAAAATCCGAATTTGTGTGCGACCCCAACGGAGGCTAGCACAGACCTCAAAATTGGGATACATCCTATACACATATATAGGAACCCCCCACAATATGCTGCTTCTTAAAAAAAAAAAATTTGATCTACCCTAAATATATATATATATATATATATATATATATATATATATATATATATATATATATATATATATATATATATATATATATACATATATATATATATATATTATATATATATATATATATATATATATATATATATATATATATATATATATATATATATATATATATATATATGTATATATATATATATATATATATATATATATATGTATATATATATATGTATATATATATATATATGTATATATATATATATATATATATATATATATATATATATTATATATATATATATATATATATATATATATATATATATATATATATATATATATATATATATATATATATATATATATATTAATTAGTATACTGTGTAAAAAAACTCGAATTGCAAATACACATTAATTAGTATACTGTGTAAAAAAACTCGAATTGCAAACTAAAATATTTTTAATAAACTAGAAAACATTTAACTGCATACTTCAATTTTTTGTGTTTTTTTTAGACTAGAAGCTAAAATATATTTTAGCTTTTAGTTTAAAAAACAAAAAAATTTAGAATTTAGAAAACAAAATATAAATTACCTTTTTTACCATGATAACTGTTAATGTGCATGTGCTTGAGCAAAAAAATTGAACATCAAATAAGCTACATTAATAGTCACAGCAATGAGTAAAAATATATAGTATAATGTAATAATAATGCATCAAATATAATACAATATAATGATAATGCATCAAATAAGCAACATTATTATTTGCTGCAACGAGTTATACTCATTGCAGATGCCAAATGCATCAAATAAGCTACGTTACTAGTCACCGCAATGGGTTAAACTCATTACGGTGTTATGAGTAAATTCGTACTTCAACACTTGAGAAAAAAATTTCTTCTCCATTGCCAAGGTACGAGTATACTCGTAGTGCTTATTTTTTGTCATTTATATTCAGAATAAAAAATATTATATAATTATTTTAATTTAAAATAACTTTTTTTATTAAAATGTTGATATCTAGCTTTGGCAACGGGATTGAAACCACGCAAAATTGCCTCAGCAAAAATTATTCGTTGCACACATTATGGTTGGGCAAAGAAATAAAGTGTAGTTTAAAATAACTATTTAGTGAATGTGTTAATAAACAAATCATACCAAATATTTTAACAAGCACACTGTTTTTATCATTTCCAGCAATACTCTTCGCATGGCATGTAAATATTTTACTAAAAGAACTTTTACAACTAATAATTTTTAAATACGATGAATTCAACCCATTTTGAATGAATATACAGTTTTCAGATAACATCCTAGAATAACTCCAATAAACAAAAGGAGCTGGTGTACCAGTGGCTTCACAATTAATTGTTGCATTTGATTTTTCAGCAAAAAAAGATCCTTCGGAAAAATAAGCTTCACTTTTAATTTTTGGAGAAACTAAAAAATGAAGCAAAAAATTAAATAAAATTTACAGTATTTTAATTGTTATTATATAAAAGTACTTATAATATCTACTTATAAATGATTTTTACATCTAAAACAAAGTTAAGCTTATGATGTGAGAATAAAAAATCTACAGTTGAGAAGGCTACTTATATTATTTTATTTTTAATTTTATGGTATACATGAGAAAAGATATTTTATGATAAGGGTTGCAAAAAAACTGGTTTTTTTGAAAAAAACCAAAAACCATAGATTTTTTAAAAAAATCAAAAAAAACATTGTTTTTTTGGTTTAAATTACGTTTTTACTAAAAAATGCGGTATTTAGTTATTATTTTAAATTAGAAAAAGCATAGCATATTTTATTTGAGTGAACTATATTCTTTACCAATATTATTACCAATATTATTACCAAATATCTTTACCAATATTATATTTCATCAAAATTATTTAATATATCATTTTTTAAAAATTTCAACAGTGTCACTTATTTTTGTTTGATCTCTTTGCAACTTATCTAGAGCTACTGCAATTGGTTTTAATATTTTTAATAAATCTTCTGTGTTTCGCTTTATTTATATATCACTTTTTTACCAATCATGGGATCCAAGTCTTTATTTTTTTCAAACATTGTGAAATTGATGCTCAAGTTGTTGACATATTTTCCAAATGAATCACATACAGAATTCCAGCGAGTTTCAGTAGAAAGTGGCAAATTTGTTCCTCCGCCTAATTTATAAATTGCTCCACCTTGATGATTATTTCTTATACATTTTATTATTTGTGTAACATGCTTGCTCACATTTTCAATGTTAAGATTATTTGCTAAAAGATTCAGCATTTGAGCTGCACACCCATAAGTTATTATAATATCTCTTTCAGATGACAATACTTGTCTCATTGATTTCATATTAGCTGCATTGTCAGTCAAAAAGCTTTTTACTGTGCACCCAAATTTACATCTTACAGAATCTATTGCTTCTCTTGCTAATTGTGTAAGATATTCACCAGTATGTGAATGACCAGAAGTGTTGATTGTTTCTACTAAAATATTAGTTTTGTCTGTAATTACAGAGATACAAACTATAGGTGCATTATGTACATTACTCCAGCCATCTAAAGACATGGCTACAATTTTTCCATTCAATACATTACATTTTTCAATTTTCTTCTGTGTAAACCCTATCTAATATTTCTCTCCCAATTTGAGTTCAATTAGGTAGAATGTATCCTGGATGAAGCATATTGATAAATTTTTTAAATTCTTTGTGTTCAACTGTTCTGAAGTTAGAGTTTGTACTGTATATAAATCTACCAAGTTGCAGATCAAATAACTCTTCTTCTTTGAGGCTTGTTCGTGTAAAAAACTTATCAATTTTCAAATGTTTATCAGCTGATGTTGAATTAGGCTGAGACCTTTTCATTTGTTGTTGTGATATTGATGTGAGTTACCTTTAAAATAAAATTGCAGTTTATTGAATTATTCTAAGTTATTGTCAATACATGGTAGTAATTTAAATATATATATTTACAGTTTAGGCATAGTATAAAATTTTAAATGACAATGTTGTAAATTAATTACCTTCAAGAAGTTGTTGATCTTTAATTGACTCCATAATTTTATGGGGTTGTGATTGCTTGCACTTTTTTATATGTTCATGCATCCTTTGAATTTGACTTTTCATTTCTTTTCTACATGCATTACAAACCGCTCTACACCCCTTTCTTTCTGGAACAGTCACTCGTGTATATTTCAACCAAATCATATCACATTTGCGCCCAGTTTTTTGAGATATTTTTGTGGTATCAATGTTAGAACTACTTGTGTTATGTGTTATGTGTTATTTTGTGGTATCAATGTTAGAACTACTTATACTTTTGCTAAACATATAAATCTGTATATATATATATATATATATATATATATATATATATATATATATATATATATATATATATATATATATATATATATATATATATATATAATATTATATATTAGTTATATATATACATAATATATATATAAATATATATATATATATAAATGTCTGTATATATATATATATATACATGTCTGTATATATATATATATATATATATATATATATATATATATATATATATATAAATATATATATATATATAAATATATATATATATATATATATATATATATATATATATATATATATATATATATATATATATTGTTAAAAAAACTTCCTGATGAAGCAAGTTTATCAGGAAGCAATGCTTCTTGATAAACCTATTAAAAGAGAACAGTCTGTAGGAGCAAACAGATAAATAAGTGTTATTACTAATTTATTACTGCCCTGTTCTGTAAGAACACTGATGACTATATTCTATGAAAAAAATAAAACAAAAGTCATGGATTTAAAAAAATATATCTATACTGAAGATTAGTTATATTTGTGAACATAACCCTGTTTTAGTTTCCTGTTGTAAGTTCAAATCTTTTCAAAAAAAAATTAGTTTGGTTTAAACCAACATTTTTTTAATTGGTTTAAACCATGGTTTAAACCAATGGTTTGAACCATTTGGTTAAAACCATGCAACCCTGTTTATGATAAGATTTTTTAATGATAAAGCAAAACAACCTAAATTTAAAGTATAAAAAAAAAATGTGAAAAATTATATAAAGTTTGTGAAAGAAAAATATGAACAAATACTGACTTATAAAAATGCCAAAATGAACAAAATAAAAGCAGTAAAATCTTTCAAAACAAAAATGGCAATCCTGCAAAAAACCTTAACAGAACAACATAAAGAACAAGCGGTGTACACATTGTGGTTTAAAAGAATGAGGTCATATTGATGTAAAAACATAAAAATGTCACATTAACAACTGCAAACTTTTCATAACCTCAAAGTCATAGATAGACATCTTTAATAAAAAAGTATAATGAAATGTTTAGGACATAAACATCTTACTTATTCTAAAATTTTTTGGCTCTTAAAAAGGATTTAAGACTTTATAGATTTTAGTTTTCTGTTAAACCACAATCGATAGAGATTCAACTTTCTTTGGTTCAGATAGAATATGCGACATATATATCAAATAGGTATTTAACTCATTTTACTCAAAATAAAAGTTAAGACAAATTGGCTTTCATATACAGATGTATTTCTTACATTTAAATTATTGTTTATTTAAAATTGTTTATTACTTTTAAAAAATTTAGACTGTTTTTTAATGGGAAAAAGAAAGATATTAAGTTTAATGTAAAGTGGATGCTAAAAAATTTGTTAGAAAAGTCTGAGAAACCTTGGAGAAACAAATACAAATATATCATCATGATCGATTGAAATTTGGACAATTTTAAATTGAGTTTTCTCAAAAACCACTTAACCAATAGTAATGATTTTTTTTTTATAATGATGCTTACATAAATATTTTTTATGTCAACAAAAAAACTTATCATTACAATGTGCAAGTAATTTAATTTTTTTGTAAAGTACCAATCATCATCTTCACAATTTTACTTTGAGTTACTTTTTTGTAGTATTTTAAACACTATTTACAGATTTTTCTCTTTTCCTTAGTATTCTTTTCGCAATTGCTCAGTAAGATTTGATTACTTGTTGCTCACAACAGTTTGGTGTATTGGCACCTTTTGGAACAAAACAGATTCTATTTTTCTTGTACCACTGCATTACTTTTTTGGAGTAGTGGATCAATGCCAAATCTAGCCAAAATAATGTTGGTTGTTTATGCTTTTTAATTAGAGTAAGAAGTCATTTTTTTTTAAACATTCAGTCATATAGATCATCATGTCAAAGATTGATTTTAAAGACATATAGATCTGATGTTATAGATTGATTTGTTATGATAAGAGAGCTTTTAATGCCACAACTGCAAGTAGCCTGCCATACAAGGAACTTGGGAGCAAATTTTTAAACTCTAATGTACTTTAATTTATCTGAAGCTTTATAACATTTTGACTGATAGTATTGATTACCTGGAAGCATCAAGTGATCTTTTTTATAGCATGTTTTATCATCTTCTAAAATGCACAAATTTTTTTTTGTAATTAGTTTAAGCAAATTTTTAGCTTATACAATTGCCTTGATTTCTCCATCAAGCGATCTTTTTTATATTATTTTCTTGTAACATGCTTTCAAATTTTCCTTTTTGAATACTCTTTGAACAAAAGATTTACTGCATTTAAACTTCGTAAATAAATCTTGATGATACTAAGTCGGATTTAGATAAATTGAGTCAACTAATTATTTTTCCTTCTTTTTAGAAATAAATCTTGATTTTCCATCACCTCCCAATTTTCTTTTTACGGTTTTGTTTTCCTTATAACTTTTTATAACAATTTGAACAGTTGATTTTGGAACTTTACATGCTTTTGAAATTATAGAATATGAGAGCAATGGCTTTTCTATGTAAATTTCAAAATTTTATTTCAATTTTCAGACACTTTTCTTGACATTGCAAAAAATAATGAGAAGTAAACAAAACTACACCCACTCACAAAAAAAACTAATTGTATAACCATTACTATATAGAAAAATCATTAAAATTGATTAACTGGTTTTTGAGAAAACTCTATCTAAATTTCAATCGATCATGGTGATAATCAAATATAAACAAATAAAACATATATTTATATATATGCAAATAATATATATATTGCAAATTAATAGGTATTTTCATAATGTATCAAATTTCACAGCATTATCATAAAGAAGATTTTGGCCTATATCGTGACAACGGTCTTGCTGTAGTAACACTATTATAGTTAAGAACAAAAATGACAGGAAATGGACAAAATCAAGAATCATATAACACATAATTTTAAAAGAAACAATCTTCAAATCACCATTTAATCTAATTTAAAAATTGTGAATTACCTTGATGTTACATTAAACCTAACTAACATTACGTTTCAGTCATATCTTAAACCTGATAATCAAATAAGGTACATCCACTCCAATTCTAACCACCCTTTAAGCATAACAAAAGCAATCCCTCGCAATATCAAGCAAAGATTACCTTCTATGTCAATTAATGAAATACACTTCAAAAAGGCTATTCCACCCACACCTGCCTGCAACCACTTTTTAGTTTTGCAATTTGACCCCGGCCATTGTCATACATCATTGGATTCGTTACAATGAGCAGAATTAGGTATATGTCATCAAAATCATAAAATTGCTTTTAGCAAAATATTTGGGGCTAAAAGGACCCAATTATATATATATATATATATATATATATATATATATATATATATATATATATATATATATATATATATATATATATACATATATGGGCATTTCCAAAAAATCACGCACGGAAACTCGTATATGTTTTTACTTTTATTTTCGTAAAAATAAAACTAGCGATCTCCAATTTACTCTCATTTAATTCTAATCAATATAAATATTTTGTAAACAAAAAATAATAAGAATTAGTAATGTTAACAAAGAATAAATAAAGTTTGAAATGGAATCACGCACGGAACAGAAAAACTTCTATTATAGTTACTAGATAAATAAACTTTAATTCCTCGGACAATATAAGTTTTACCGGTATACTTTTTATTTAAAATAATATTTTAAACATTATTAAAGATTTCCAGAAAGTTACAGGATTGCACTATGAATCATAGAGTCACAGCAATCATTTAAATGCAGTTTGTGAATGATCACGCACGGAAGTCACGCACGGATGTTGCAAATTTGTCAATTTCATGTAGTTATTTTTATGAAAACAAATTGTTAGTGAGTGTTTCAAGTGAAATATTATACTTCTGTGATTCATATTTAATATATTTTCGATGACAAACGGCAGTCATCAAATATTTCTAGCTAGAGTATGGCGTTTTGAAAATTATTGTATATATTTTAAAATGTAGCGATATTATTACTCAAAAAAATAAAATTGTAAAAATGTGTATATTTAATTTATTCAGATAGCCTAAAATATGATAAAAATACTTTAGTTATAATTGTTAAGAAAATCAAAATAGTATGCATATTGCATAAAGTCCAAGCTTTTAATTGCTAAAACAAAGAAAAATAAAAAATCACGCACAGAAATGGAAATATATATATATATATATATATATATATATATATATATATATATATATATATATATATATATATATATATATATATATATATATATCTTTTTTGCTAGCTTTAGTTATCTTTTTTTAGTTATACTTTTATATCTTTTTTACTAGCTTTAGTTCCGAATGTTCCTGAAAGTCACTACAATGTTTCTATATTAATAAACTGTCTTAATTTAGATAAAATAAAACACTCATTTGTAGCTGATCTTAAGCTTTGTCAAATAATGTGTGGTTTATCTACAAGTGCTATAGTTACACAATCGTGCCATATATGCGAATGGAAACGAATGCAACCATATAAAGAAGAGAAGCTTAGAACTTTTGGTTCTTTAAAAGAAAAGTACACACAATTTTCTCAATTAGGTGCAATAAAACAAAATGCTAAAGAATTTTGCAATGTTATTAATCCTCCATTGATACACGCAGAAACCAGCGACCACTTAGTAGCAGATTATATTTTCCCGCCAGAGTTACACCTAATGGAGGGAGCTGTTAATCATATTTATAATCATATAGAGAAATGTGGTGGTGAAAACAAAGTGGCTAAAGTATCAATGATTTTAAACATTTCAAAAGAGGTTCACAATAATGCCTTTAATAGCAACGCCTCCCATAAAATCCTTAAAAATTATGATAAGTAGATGCGTGCATTGCCAATTAATTTAAAGCCATTGGCAGAGGGGCTTAGAATTTTAAACAATTTGGTTGAGTCTTGTTTTGGCCCAAAAATTTAAAGATCACTACAAAACACTTGTTGAAAACTATGGAATAACTGTTTCATTGAAAATTCATTTTATTATAAAACATATAGGTGCTTTTTGTGCAGTTAGAGGGCGTGGATTAGGCTGCTACTCTGAACAATGAATCTTGGAATAGAATAAAAGTTTCCAATAGTTTCTGAACATTAAAAAAAAACTGTTATCATTTTTAACGGAAAAAATCTTGTAAATATTGCAAATGCTCCTGAAAATATATTTATGTTTTAACTTTACTTAAATATAACTTTTTTATGATAATATGTTACACAAAAATATGTTAAGTTTATTAATAAACAGAATCTTAATAATATAAAACATTAGCTAATGTGCATGGTTTGTATATATATTTAAAATATTTGTATTTTACAAATGACATATTTATGACAGTCATATCCAAACGATATATTCTATTTATGACTCATTTTAACACCTTAAATGGCTAAACTTTTGAAAAATTGATAAATTTGTTATATAAATTTATTTAAAAAATAATAATTTAAAAATCCACGACTTTGGGAAAAATTTTTTAAATTGGACCCGTTTTGGCCCCTAAAACGTAAATATTTTGCTAAAAGGAATTTTATGATTTTGGTGACATATCAAACCTAAATTACTCATTGAAACAAATCCAACAATGTATGACAATGGCCGGGGTCAAATCTCAAAACTAAAAAGTGGTTGCAGGCAGGTTTGCACCGTATAAAGAGACTTTAAAAAAATCAAGATACAAATCAAATCTTACCTATCAACCATAATTCATCTAAATCAAAATCATCAAAAAAAGAATTATAAACATAATATTATTTGGTATAACCCTCCATTTAACTTAAACATCAAAACAAAAAAAGGAATCGATTTTTAAGCCCTTATTGATTTACATTTTCCAGCTGGCCACAAGCTAAATAAAATACTCAACCGAAATTCTATTAAGATCAGCTACAGATGCATGCTTAACCTAATTCGCATAATTTCAAAATTTTGAACAAAAAAATCAATTAAAAACCAACCAATGTAATTTTTTTTATTTTAATATTATTTGCATTCTCTCCCAACAAGGCTGCAAGCAACCACTATTAAGTTGGGAGTTACTAGGGAAAAAAAGAACAGAGTTATAAAGCAAGGAAACGGTTGACAGAAGACTTGAAAAGTTGAAGGTTGTATGAGTCAGGAGAACATGAAGATGGGAGAGAGTTGCAAAGGATTGAAGTGCGGGGAAAAAAACTAGATGAATAAAAGTTTTTAGAGCATGCAGGGACAGATACAGTAAACAAATAAGACTTAGCTGAATGACGAGTAAAACGAGAATGAATTTTAGTTGATGGAACTAGAGATGATAACTCCTTTGAGCAGTGACCATGATAGTATCTGTAGAAAAGAGAAAGAGATGCAACTTTACAACGATGGGAAAGAGGCTTAAGCTTAGCAGATAGTCCAGGTCCAACAACATTTACAATGCGTTTTTGGACCTTGTCAAGAAGAGAAAGTAAATTGTTAGAAGAATCGGCCCAAATATGACAACAGTATTCCATACAATGACAAATAAGAGATTTGTACAGGTGGAGAATTGAATCAGAGGTAAGGAAATGGCGAGCACGATAAAGAGAAGCAACCTTAGCAGAAGCTAATTTAGCAATCGATTGTATATATGGTTTCCATGAAAGGTCAGTAGTAAGCGATAATCCAAGAAGACATAAAGAGGAGGACTCAGTAAGAGGATTGCCATTCATTAATATAGGAATGTTGACCATATTACGGTATTTGCTTGCAGTAAAGAACTGGGTTTTGTTAGAGTTAAAATTCACAAGCCACTGTGAACCCCAATCTATTACTGAAGTGAGATTCAAGATCAGCTGCTTGTTCTAGGCGATCGAAAAGAGAAGACTTTTTGTCAAGACAGGAGTATAAAGTTGAGTCATCAGCAAAAAGAACTACTTTAGATGAAAGGTTGTCAGGAAGATCGTTTATGTAGATAAGACAGAGCCCAGGATGGCAAAACAGGAAGGCAAAACAGGGCCCAGGATGGAACCTTGGGGAATCCCAGAAGTTACTGGAAATAAAGAAGAGTGTTGGCCTTCAAGGATGACTTTAATAAACCGGTTAGAAAGAAATGATTTGATAATCTCAAAAACTTTCCCAGAAACACCATATGAAGCAAGCTTATGGAGAAGACCAGCATGTCAAACTTGCGTAGATAAAGCATTTTACCCTTTGAACAATCAATGCCTATCTATCAATATTGTCTACCAAGCAACCACAAGTTCCAGTCATCATGATTGTAATAAAAAAGTATATTTTGGCATTGGTAACACACCAATTAAATTAAGATACGCAAACCATCTCAAATCATTTGCATCACTAAAGTATAGAAATGACACAGAACTGTCTAAGGAAATATGGAGCTTAAAAGACCAAAAAATAAAACCTATTATAGAATGGAAAATTGTCAAACGTTGCAATCTAGCGACAAAAATATGCTACCTTTGTCTCTACGAAAAATATGTTATTTTATTGTATAGTGGAAAAAACCTACTGAATATAAAAAACGAAATCGTACCTCAGTGTTGACATTCAAAAAAAATTTTATCATCTTTATTTGACACAGGGGACTAGTAAACCATAACCAGTTTTTGTTTTTTATTTTTAGATTTGTTTTTTACGTAGATTTTTTTGTAGTGTCAGAAGTCATTCTACAGCAATTTTCACGTTTTTTTAACGGTTTGTTTATGTTTTTTGTTTGTATTAACGGCTGATATTGCCTTTAAGTCCCGCTAATCAGTTGTTTTTATTCAACTAAACAAAATATAATTATATATATATATATATATATATATATATATATACATATATATATACATACATATATATATATATATATATATATATATATATATATATATATATATATATATAATATATATATATATATATATATATATATATATATATATATATATATATATATATATATATATATATATATATATATATATATATATATATATATATATATATATACATTAAAAAAAAGTTATTTAAAATTTTAATAAAATTCAACTTTTATTTTATTTAATTTAAATTATAATGTATTAAAATTTTTATGCAAACTTTGTTTATCATTATTTTATATTTTAATACATTATACTGCAAAATTTTACAAATTAAATATTAACAATTTTCTTGAAACTTCAATAATTATTTACACTTTTTTTTTTTTAACTAATTTATTTTATTTATTTAATCAGGAAACTATAGAGGCAATAGACGCAAGCTTTTGAAGTGTATTTAACAATTTAAAATTTAATTTAAAGGCATATATTTGGTCACTTAAAGACAAATATTTAATCACTATCACTTTAATTTTATATTTCAAAGTGTTTCACTTGACTTATAAAGAAAAATAATGTTCATAATATGTGTTGTGATTAAATTTGAATATGAGATTGATGTTAGAACAATAACTAAAATTTAAAAAAAATTTACCTACCAAAAACTTGTGAATTAACTGCTGTTGTACTGTTCCAGGTAAGAATAAAACCTGTTGAAACATTAACACGATTAGTGATTACTTTAATATACAATATACCAGATTTATGGAAAATTACCACTTGTTTGATTGTGCAATAAAAACTGATTTTTTTTTGGTAAGTAGGATCATCATACAAAGAAACAGAGTCGTGACATATATGCTTGTCAAATTCCATATCTACATCATTTAATTCAACTCTTAGTATATTAGGAGCAACATCAATCACCCATGTGCATTCAACATCATTTGAATACTCATTTCCTATTAATGGAAAGCGAATTTTTCCAGAGAAGCTGGTAAAACGAGAAACATTTCCACAGTTAGCATGCAAATCTAAAGCCAATATACAAGCATAATAATTGGTATAAATGAATTATTTTGTGATAATAAAATAATATAAATTAAATAAAGTTAAATAAAAAAATGAACTAATTATGATTCCAACATCACAAAAACATAAAAATATTAAACTTAGAAAAAAACATAAGTATTAAACTTAGAAAAAAACATAAAAATATTAAACTTAGAAAAAAACATAAAAATATTAAACTTAGAAAAAAACATAAAAATATTAAACTTAGAAAAAAACATAAGTATTAAACTTAGAAAAAAACATAAAAATATTAAACTTAGAAAAAAACATAAGTATTAAACTTAGAAAAAAACATAAGTATTAAAAAAAAGGTTTAATACTTATGTTTAATTAGAATTAAACATAAGTATTAAACTTAGAAAAAAAAGCTATAAGCTATTATAGACATAAAAAATCTGTTTAACTTCTATTAAATTAGAATCTATTAAATTTTGAAAAGTACAGATGTGCTGATAAACAAAGATTAAACAATGACTTTGTTTAAACATTAATTCAGGAAAAAAAAACTTATTTAAAAACACTTTAAATGATACATTTCATTTCTTTCTCATATTTGCAAACGCAATAAATGTAAAAAAAAAAATATTTTTGCAATATGAAAAAAACAATTTCTGGTTAAAGATTACAAATTGTTATTTAATGTAAAAATCCAATATAAGATTACTTTAAAAACTTTAATTTCTTGTGAATCATTAAAAAGTCTGATATTATGCTTTAAACTTAATTAAGCATCACCTTAAGATCACAGCACCGTTTTACAAAGCAATTATTAAAATCATTGTTTGAAATCTATGAATGACATGCACTTATATGTAAAAAAACAAAACATTAAATTATAGAAAAATAGTTTTTTAAAAAAAAATTTTGTTAATAGAAACAGAGTTTAAATATATAATAAATAGCTTATATTGACAAAAAAAAAACGCAATTTATTTTAAACATGTTTTATAAATTTTATGTTAAAAACTGTTAAAAACATCTATAAAGCAAAATGGTGATGTTGTTTTATGTTAACACATAAACATTTAAATTGAAAAACAACACTGTGATATTGTTTTATTTTGTTATATACAGCTTTTTATAACAACATTTGGGGTTTAAATAAAACACATTTTATTGCCAGTATGAACTAAGATATAAGAAACTTTTTAATTCTAACTTAATCCATGTGAACAAGGGTCACTAAAATAGATTTACTACAATATTTTTTTTTTTGAAATAAAAACTTATTTAATAAGTTGGTCTAAGACCAACTGACAATAACTATTATTGTCAATTATGTAAAATACATTTATATTTATATACTTATTATATCCAGTTGCAAAATTAACATTGTTATAAGTCTTTTGAAAACTATTAAAATTTTTCATTTTTAAAAGTCATCTCCCTTAGGCTCCAGAGGAGACTATACAGTGAAGTAAACTATTTCTTTTTCTTAGGTTCTTTTATAAAAAAAAATGTAAATTATAAAAATTTTAGGAATCAATTTACATTTCAAGATTAACTTAAACTAAAAACAAAAGAGTTTAGCATATATTTTTATTGTAAATATACCCATATAGCCAAGAAACTCAAACTAATTGCTCTAAATTAACTATTATATTTTTATTTTTTTTTTCAAGTGTGGCAAAGTGCACAAACATGTACTAATTTATATTTATTTAAAATAATTGTAAGTCAAAAACATTTATAAACATTTTTAAAAAATTGTTTTATTAATATATATTAGTTATATTTATGTTTATTACTATATTAGTTATATTTATTAATATATTAATAAATGTAAATTAGTTCTTTAATGATTATTGTTGTACTCTTAAACATTTTTAATAAAATTTTAACAAAGTTTGTTTTTTATAGAAAACCAGCTTTGATACTAGGAAGTCATTTTTTTAATGGCAAATCAGTATTAACTGTTTATTATTTCAAAAAAGTACCTCCAAAACAGAAAAAAGGAATCTTAAATCATGTAAAGCAAAAATGAAATTTGTTATTCTTGACACATTTTACTAAATGCTATTGAAATAAATAAAGTATACAAAGAAAAAATGCTAGGTTGAGAATTTTTCTTTCACTGTTTCTAATTTTTAATAAATAAGATTTTAAATGGAAAAAAATTTTAAGTTGTGTTAATAAGATTAACTAATTAAATTTAATAGTTCACAAAAAGGAGGTAATTTACAGTTATTCAAAGTGGTAGCTTTCTTTTCTGAAAAAAGAATTGTGTCAGGTCAGGTATATGTCAGGTCAGGTTATCCTGCTACTGGTATCATGTAACCCAGTACAATCTGCTTTATGTCCTGCTGCCTTGTAGGATACTCCTTTTTAGGCAAAGGCTAGGAAACGCAAACTCTGACATAAAAAATCCCCGGCCTTTATGCTTTTAGTTAAGTAAAGGCTAGAGATGGTGTTTCAATAAAAATACTCATCTTGGACAGATGTTAAATGCATCCCACTGCTGTCTTGTAGAAGGCCTCCAGCAAAGACTTAAGGGGTAAACAGATTCTATCTGATGACCAGCCTTGCACCCCTTCCTCCTCTATAAGGCTGGCGCAGGTATATTTTTAATACGTTGTTTTCAGTTTAGGATGCTGAATGCTGGATCTTCTGGACTCGATGCATAAATTTTGCTTGTTTTTATGACTAGGTTACTCATTCTATTATCTCCTAATATGGGTACAGCTCTAAAACTCAGTTTTATGGTTCTGAGGCAGGCTGGTAGTCAAGTTTCCGGAACTCTGTGGTAGCAATCAGAGTGGCAGGTTCCATCAACAGCTGAAAAATATCAAAGTATTAACAGTTCCATATTGTGCATGGATGATGTCCCTGTTTATACTTTTGGTGTGCATTGCCAGGGCCATATCGCAGCCTTCTATTATGGCTTAGGGTTTATTAACAGTAATAAGGCAACTGCTTAGGCTATTAAACAGTGTACTGAGTACTATCTATGCTTCTAGTCAAGTTCTTTAACAAATTTAAAAATGAATAAAGTAACAAAAACAATAAAACACAAAAAACTATTGCCATCACCAAGATCTCTAAACCTATCATTCACTAATATCCATGGTCGTCAAAGTAAAAAGTTAAGTCTTATCTCTTGCAAACTTCATCAGACTTACTTGCTCTTTAAAAGAATAATTTGAGTTCAGCTGTCTCAACTTGTGATCTAAGTGTTGATGGTTATCTTCCTTTAATTCATCAAGACTCCGATAGTCACATGCTTGGCCTGGGCATTTACATTGGTAAGAATTCACCTATTTGTCGGGAAACTAGGTTTGAATCCACTACTCTTTTGTGTGCTTTCGTTTAGCACCACTTCACTCTATCACCTTTCTCTTTGTTTTATATCGCTCTCCTTTATCTCAAGACTGTACTCTTCTTGATGTTATTTCTGATCATATTGAACAAGCGCTCTCTCTTTTTATCCATCAGCCAATATTATTGTTGTCGGTGACTTTAACGTTCATCACACTGAATGACTTGGGTCTAGTTTCAGTGACTCTGTAGGCATTAAAGCCCACAACTTTTGCCTTTCTCAATCTCTAACTCAAATAGTCAACTTTCCAACTTGCTTTCCAGACAACCTAAATCATTTACCTTCTCTACCCAACTTATGTATTATTTCCGATCCTAGTTAGTGCTTAGTTTCTTCACATTCACCCTTAGGTGCTTCTAATCACAATTTGATTGCTTCTAATCTCATTCTTTTTTATCATCAGAATCCCCCTATCATCATACATCTTACAATTACCTTAAAGCTGACTGGGCTTCTTTCCATGATTTTCTTCATAATGGCCCTTGGGTAGAAATCTTCGGCCTTCCTGTTGACAAATGTGCTTTTTGCATAACTTAGTGGATTCAGGCTGGCATGGAATCCTTTATACTCTCGACAATTCCAGGTCAAGCCTCACTCTTCTCCATGGTTTTCCTCAAATGGTGCTGCTGCAATTGCCAATTGAAGCTATTACTTCCATATCTATCAGCAAAACAATTCTCTAGAAAGTAGATGTCTGTTTATTACTGCAAGGAACCATTGTAAAAAGGTTTTGTCTAACGCCAAAGCCCGCTATTCTCAGGTCATGAAATCCTGTATTTTATCACAAAAATTAGGCTATTGTGACTTCTGGAGAATCTTTAATAGTATCAATAACAAGTCTGTAATTCCACCTCTTTTGTATGGTCCAGAGTTTGTTACTCACTCAAAGACAAATCTCAATTATTTGCTAAGAACTTTTCATCAATATCATCTTTTGATTCCACTAGTTGCGTTCTACCTGATATAACCGTCAAACAGGTTGATCCATTGCTTGACATTTGTATCACTCCAGCTTCTATATCTAAAGTGAATTCCGGCTTAGACTCTTCTACAGCTTGTGGCCGGGACAATATACCTGTTATAGTCTTGAAGAAGTGTTCTCAGGAGCTGTTGTCTATACTTTCAAAACTACTCAACAAGTGATTATCAGAGTCTTGTTTTCTAGCCTGGCGGAAAGAAGTGTCTGTTATCCCTATTTTCAAAAATTCTGGAGAGTGATCTGATTTGTCTAACTACCATCCCATTAGTCTTCTTTCTATCATAAGCAAGGTTTTTGAATCTTTAAATAACAAACACTTAATCTCTCATCTGGAACCTAATAACTTACTTTCTGATCATCAATATGAATTTCAATCTTCTCGTTCTACCGCTGATTTGCTAACAGTAATAACCAATTGGTTTTATATTGCATTAGATAAAGGTGGAGAGGCTAAGGCCATCACTCTTGACATTTCTAAAGCGTTTGATAAGGTTTGACATGCTGGTCTCCTCCATAAGCTTTCTTCTTACGGTGTATCTGGAAACATCATTATGATTATTGAATCCTTCCTTTCCAATTGTAGTATAAAATTTATCCTTGACAGACAGCACTCTTCTTATTATTCTGTAACCTCAGGAGTTCCTCAAGGTTCAATACTTGGCCCT